AACGAAACCATTGATGTTTACTGGGTTCTGATCAACTCGTAAGAAGATCTTATCACCACCAGGTGCGTCACTGTATCTTGGGTCAGATGTATCACGAGGACACAACTCGAAAGTCGCCGCCTTTTTCTTATCAATAAACTTCTTCTTCCCCATTTTTCACTGATTTCTTCGAAGATTAGCAGAAGCAAGCTCGGTTCTTAGGGCTTGCGAACTAGGGTTTTGATAACTGCACAAAAACTAGGGTTTGTAAGTCACAGCGATCAGCTAGAGTACGATTATATATCCAAACTAATAAAGATGAAATTTTTAAAATTAGGGTTCATCAATCAACACAGAATCATCGAAATTGAGGCGAACAAATCACCATTGGTTCAAGAAGGAAATTGAAGCTGCTTACCTGAGGAGTTTGTGAGAGAGGCGCAGAGGGACGATATGATGATGATGAACAACATAAACGGCTTTGAAGCTTTTTTTTTTTAGGGTTGAGCAAAACGCACCGTTTTAATCTCAACAAATATTATAATATTTAGTGTAATAACATAAGCATCTAAATTATTACTGAAATAACATGTTTAACCATCTAAATTAGTTAAATAGTATGTGTATTTTATAAATTTGTTAACTAACAAAGAAAAATAAAATGCGATTATTTTACTTTTTATTATATTCAATAAAAATTGTCATATTTAATATATATTTAATACAAATTTTTTTTGTAAAAAAAAAACATTTTTTTATAGAAATTTCTTTAATAATTCAATACATAACAAAAGTATAATTAAGTGCATCAAAATGTTAAACTGAAAATATAAACTTTAAATAAAAATATGATGAGGCATATATGTAGATGATGAAATGGCTTCATAAAAAGTGGAAAAAACAATCTTTATATATCTATTATTAATCTTGTATATATACATAATATTATCATGAATTACATTTTTTAGTCTCGAGAGAATCAAACATCTGTAAAAATCATTATACATATCATATATATACAATAAAGTTATGCATAAAAAATGATTAGATTGTCAAGAAAATATCTTTTAAATTTTAAAATATCTTTTAATACCCCGTAACATATTACACACCGTTTTCTTTTGGTATTAATAGTAACGGCAACATCAATTTTAAGATCTAAACCACTAATATATTGTTACGTTTTTATTTGTTATCATTAAGTAATAAATTAAAATATTTATATTAAAAAATCATTAATCACGCCTTCAAATAACATAGTATAGTTTAACAAAAATTGTATATTTCTATACCAAAACATTTAGTATCTTGTAATTTTGCGTTGATGTTGCTCTTAATCTATTGTATTATAGTGTTAGTGTGTTAGAGTTATTGTTACTCTGTTATAGTGTTAGTGTTAGTGATATGTTAGTGTTATTGTGTTGTTTTTGTGTAGTGTTTGTCACAATGTGTGTTGTGTTAGTGTCGGTGTTTGTTTTGTGATTAAGTTATGGAGTTTGTTTTAATTTGTCGGTTAATGAGATTAATTACATTATTGATGTTGCTATTGTGCCGTGTTAGATGTTTTGTTGTGATATGGTGTTGTGTTCTTTTATTGTCCACGCGTTGCGCAGAATTAAAAATTAACATCATAAAAATATGTAATAGTTTTTACCTTGTTTGATTATTTGTGAATTTAATATTAAAGTCATTTGATGTTTATAGAAAATACTTATTTAGGTTCAAAAACTAAATATTTGTAAAAAATTATTGATACAATGTTATATGTAAAAATATCGTTCATAAAAAAAAATTTGTATATGAATTGCATAAATTTGTAGGAGATATATATTATGTGAGATAATACAAATGTAAAGTAAAGTAAAAAAATATGTTTGGTTTTTTTTTTTTAATCAAACATGTTATTCAAGAAATTTATTGATCTGCATCATCTCAACAAAAATGTTGGAATGCATTTCTATGTTTATTTCATTAGAATTTTGAATCGTAAAAAAAAATTGCTTGATTGTA